TAACGCCTCACATAAAGATTTGCAGGTACTAACAGTCTCTGAAGAGTGCAAAAGAATTTATGAACAATATCCTAACATCCTAACAAACTGGCATGCAGTCTTCTCCACAATCAACATGCGAAGATATTGAAACGGTACGATCTCTTGGACCTACCAAACCGTTCCTGACAGTGCCTACAGTAGTTGAAGCTAAACCTTCAACAACTCTCAGCCATTATGATCTGTGTTTAGTATTCGTGTTCGCGTATCTGTGTATGTGCGCATCCCACCGCTAAGGAAGCTAATATTTGTGTTATAATGCTCTATTCACTGGACCTTACATCTCTCTGACACTGTAAAGACAAACAATTCTACCTATTGTTTTTATTGTGAAACAGATTGTAAAAAATATTAGATGTTAATAAAAAAAATTGTCATTATTTCAAGTAGTTATTGTCCACTAGTTTTTTGCAATTATCTCACTCAATTGTTTATGTATCTACATAAACATAAATAAATTTCTTTCATTTCATTATTGAACTTTCTTTTATATTATTTTTGTGACAAATTTGTTAATTAGATCACGGTTATTATATTTTTTGTTTGCTATTAAATACAGACGCGATTTCATTACTATTGGAGTCAGTGTACCGGTAGTAGTTATTGGTAATTTCGACAGTTATGGGTTACCAATTTTTGTGTTCACTTTCGTAATAAATTTGTAATAAGGATTTGCAATAAGAATTTATAATAAGCTAGTGCTTGAATGGCTAGACACCTCGTAAGTATATGATTAATATTTATTAATTAAATATAATTTTTAATAATAAATTTATTTATAGTTGCAATAAATATCGCATACTTAAACTGCATTCTATAAATATGGTATGTAGTAAATGTTGATGGTAAAGTGGGTTTACAAAGATAAACAAGATTGTTATTACAAACTAATGTTTAAAAGTTCTCATATCAATTTTTTATTTAAATATTCGCATTACGCTCGTCAATTTTACGTCAATTTTTAAATCATTGCTTTCCCAGGAGGTGGATCGGAAGACGAGGTTTTATAGAGTGGCCGGCACGGTCGCCAGATCTAACACCCTTAGACTTTTTCCTGTGGAGATATTATGTATCAAAAGTTTATGTCAATAGACCCCAAAACTTATAGGACTTCAAAAATAGAATTAGGCATGAAATGAGTCTAATTACTCCAGAAGTCATCCGCAATGTACTAGATGATTGTGTCCGTAGATTAGCATATTGTCAACAAACCGATGGATGGCATTTCGTCCATTTAATTTAAAATAATTATTATGCATAATTTGGTTACTTTAAAGTACATTATTAATTAAATCATTCATTGTAATTTAGTTGAATTTAAATTAAAAACATTGTTTTTGTACCATTAAAAAAATATTTTAGTTAAAAATACAATATTGTTCTGAAGCTATTTTCTTGTGGCATTGTAAATTAATTACTATTAAACTGGGAATAAGCCACAATTAAAGATAAAAATACGTTTATTGACGTTTCAATTTCCACTTCGGAAATCGTTCTCAAAATACAAACAGTAAATTAAACAAATTTTGTTTTTTGTTACATAGTGAAAAATTCTTCTAATAATTTAATTTTATCTGACTCATTTATATTGACAATTCAGACATACATTATGCATTTTAAAATAGACGACTTTAAAATGATATTGCCAATATTGTTGAGTTGCGCTCCTGGGACGACTTTACTTATAAGATAGTTCATTCGATTACATGAAATCAACTTTAACTTGAGAATATCCATCAGAAAAAAATCATAGCATGTAATTCGTCTTTAAAAAGACAAACACATGGCATGATGACAGTAAAATTCTCCTGTTAGTGATTCCATAGTAAATTATTAGGGAAAAACCAGGAAAAAAACCTCATAATACTATCCCGACATTGTAAGTATTTGTTCGTGAATTTAGTTTACCTTCAATAAATATTAAAATTCTGATTTTGTATGTTACGGTATTTAAAAAACATAAATGATGTATCCTCTGTATGTTACTGACTGACTAATACTGGTATTTTCTTATTAATAACTTCCTCTTTCAATATTGGTAACCAGATCCTACTACATTCTGCCGAGAAATTTGCGACACAATTGGCCTCATTTAGCATAATTAGAGCCGCTTCTTTGATTTTTCTTTTTTTACCATCCGTTTCTTTTAGGACTACATTTGAATTATTCCATTGAACCCTATGTTCATTATCCCATGCGTGTTTACAGATTTGAGATCTATCAAATTCTCTATTTTTAATATAAGATTGATGTTCACTTATTCTAACATTTAATGGCCTTGATGATTCACCTAAATAAAACTTAACGCATTCACAAGGTATTTTATAAATGCAATTCTTTGTCCTTTCTTGTTCATTGTTAGGTTTGGTTTTGGACAAAATAGATCTCAACGTGTTTGTTGTTTTGAATGTTGTTGAAATGTTGAATTTATTTCCTATCCTTTTAAGTTTTTCTGATAATCCTTTTATGTACGGTATTATCATTTTCCTCATATTATTCCTTGTGTATGCTGTAGGATCTCGTTCTAAGTTGTTCTGTTCTATTCGATCGATTGTTGAAAATTCCTTATTTATAAACGATAAAGGATAATCATTTTTTAATAAAACAGATGTTAACAAATGTTTCTCCTCCAAGAACGAATTTTCGTTAGAATAACAACAACATATAATAGATATTTAAATATTTAAATATCTATTATATATGTCCAACACACACCAATAGATAATTAAATTTCAAATCAAATCACAATATTAATGTAAAAAAGGGAATAATTAAATCCTTATACGATAGAGCCAAAATTACTTGTTCTAACAAAAATTCGTTTTTGGAGGAGAAACATTTGTTAACATCTGTTTTATTAAAAAATGATTATCCTTTATCGTTTATAAATAAGGAATTTTCAACAATCGATCGAATAGAACAGAACAATTTAGAACGAGATCCTACAGTATACACAAGGAATAATATGAGGAAAATAATAATACCGTACATAAAAGGATTATCAGAAAAACTTAAAAGGATAGGAAATAAATTCAACATTTCAACAACATTCAAAACAACAAACACGTTGAGATCTATTATGTCCAAAACCAAACCTAACAATGAACAAGAAAGGACAAAGAATTGCATTTATAAAATACCTTGTGAATGCGTTCAGTTTTAGGTGAATCATCAAGGCCATTAAATGTTAGAATAAGTGAACACCAATCTTATATTAAAAATAGAGAATTTGATAGATCTCAAATCTGTAAACACGTATGGGATAATGAACATAGGGTTCAATGGAATAATTCAAAGGTAGTCCTAAAAGAAACGGATGGTAAAAAAAGAAAAATCAAATCATGTCATGTGTTTGTCTTTTTAAAGTCGAATTACATGCTATGATTTTTTTCTGACGGATATTCTCAAGTTAAAGTTGATTTCATGTAATCGAATGAACTATCTTATAAGTAAAGTCGTTCCAGGAGCGCAACTCAACAATATTGGCAATATCATTTTAAAATCGTCTATTTTAAAATGCATAATGTATGTCTAAATTGTCAATATAAATGAGTCAGATAAAATTAAATTATTAGAAGAATTTTTCACTATGTAACAAAAAACAAAATTTGTTTAATTTACTGTTTGTATTTTGAGAACGATTTCCGAAGTGGAAATTGAAACGTCAATAAACGTATTTTTATCTTTAATTGTGGCTTATTCCCAGTTTAATAGTAATTAAAAATATAATGTCGTTAAATAGAGAATTAAATTCTCTCTCAAATGAAGTGTCGCATTATAGCGATTTCTATTTAAAAAAATTAACTCGACGGTTCTCGAAATAATGATAATATTCCACAATTTAGCCGTTCACTGTATATTAGAATTAACCAAAATCAAAATATTTAACAGTTGTTTTAAGAGTATATTATTTTATGGTGCAAAATCTAGGACCTACTAGCAAAAAATTACAAACCTTTATAATAAATCTTTCAGATCAATCCTTAAAATATATAAAAGCAGAACTATGGAGAAGAGCAAAACAATAAAAAATAACAGTCACCATTATAAGAAGAAAAAATAGAATTTATCGAACATACATTGAAGAAAGACAAAAAAATAATTTACCCAGACAGGTACTCGAATACGAACCAGACGGAAATAAAAGAAGAGGAAGATCGGATAATAGCTGGAGAAGAACTGTAACAAGAGATCATGAAAAAATTGGCGCACACACACATAGTGATCAACCATAAGACACTCGTGGCTCCAAAACTTGCGACAAGGAACACATTAGTAGAATGGCAAGGAACATGTGAATACCATTGTAGAGTGGGATCCACATGTCCAAAGATCAAACCTTTCACACTTCACTATTGAAGTGGTACCTATCTGACCCCTAGTCTTTTCCTCCAACCCTCCTCAGCGTGTTACTTACGTGAGGAGGCTTATGATCTAAAAGTTACTTTGGGTGTCCTGGGTAATGGAACACCCTCTGTTTTTATTGACTGTGGTTAAGCCACCTAACTGTAGGGGTAGCACACATATCGCTTTTTTGCCTATTTACTTCACTGACTCTATTGAATTTGCTCTAAAATGACTGCGGGACTTGAGTCCTTAAGTTAACGCTTTTCGATTTGAAAAGTTCGCTAATAATTTCTACATTCTGTGGAGGTTTCCATTATTCCAACATCTTCCAATTATTTGGTATTTTGTTTTATTTTTCCATGCCAAGTTTAAAAGGTCATGTGATGTTTCTCAGTCTGATTTAACTTATTTCATTCCAATTTTATTTGCATATATCTATATTTTTACAAATTAGTGTTTGGGAATAGATAATGTGTATTTGAAATCGTGTCAAGAGAAATATTTACAACAATTCTAAAAACAGTATTAATTAAATCATAACAAAATATTTTGTATCATTAACACGTTCTAATATTTATTTGCCCATTTTGATTCAGATAACAATATTTTCTAAACTAAAATTTTTATTCGTCTAATCTCTTTAGTACTTATCTTAAATGGTTTGGGGGGTAAATGCCACTACCCTTGAAAACAGTTGAATTTGTCGATATGTTCGGATAGGATAGATAATTTTTAGAAATTTGTAAATAATTATGCAGATGTAATGTTTGTTCTCAGCGATAACTGATTAACTAAGTGTTTTTTTCAGTGAAGTGGTATTTATTGAATTGCGGATATATTATATAATTTCGTGTGAAGTATTCTGTAGAAAACCGATAAGTATATTTCGTTTTTCAGATTGGTTTTCTCATTTATTTATGTGGTGAAACAGTGGGTTAGTGTTTGTCGACGTAGATGATATCTGAACATTGGTAAGTCAATGACAGCTGGTCAATACTGATAAAACGCATTAGAGATAAAAGTGACCTTATTTGTACATCTATATAAAAATATATAAATGAAATTTAGACGAAATGATTATGGTTGGGAATGAATGAATTAAGACTGATTAAAAAACTATTCGTTAAGTATTGTTTCTTTATTTTACTTAGGTACTTAAGCATTTTTACCTTTTTAATCACATGCTGCGTCTCATAGGCACAATTTCAACAACTACTTTATTCCTGCTCTTATTCTGTTGGTTTTATATTTGCCTAATGTATGTTTATAAGCAAGAACCTCAAGACAGTAATAGGTGGAAAATTTTACGGAAGGCTTACGTTCAGCATTGGACAAATATAGGCTGATTGATGATGATGTCTATAAATGTTTTGTATGTAATTAAACCAGAATCTTAAAATTTTGTATTTTAAAACAGAGCAAGAGCTTTAAAATAGCGTAGTTGTTATCCTCCTCCTCAGTCCTAATCCATTTTTTGATGTGGTGATACATCCTTCCCTGTCCTGGGCTAGTTGTTCGGCGTTATGTAACCCTTGGTTACTCAACATTTTTGTTTTATCCACCCAACGGCTTGGAGATCTTTCAACTCTCCCTCGAACACTCTACCTTTTGGGGTAAGGACAACCTTTGTGTCTTTCAATGAGAGGAACAGGTTGAAGTTTAATAATCACGCACATTGGAAACGAACATGGTTTTGTGAAAAATGGTTCAAAAGTATTGTTCAGAAGCTATTTTCTTGTGGCATTTTAAATTAATTACTATTGAACTGGGAATAAGCCACAATTAAAGATAAAAATACGTTTAATTGACGTTTCAATTTCCACTTCGGATATCGTTCTCAAAATACAAACAGTAAATTAAACAAATTTTGTTTTTTGTTACATAGTGAAAAATTCTTCTAATAATTTATTTTTAAAGGACTCATTTATATTGACAATTCAAACATACATCGTTTCCACGGAACTTGTACTTCGTGACGGGTTTTGGTATACCTGGCTAACTCTTCCGGAAGGTACGATCTCCGCCTCTTGCCTTCTTCTTGTTCTCGTCACCCTTCCTATCCTTCTCCTACCCCCTTTGACTTTTTAGCTTTTTAGCGGTAGCGCCCTTAGTCTTCGGAGTCCAACCGAAGTCATATGAACGAAAACTGGCATTTCAAACCAAACAAGCATAAGGACCCAAGTAACAAACCCACCCTTGAAGAAGCATAGATTGATTGATTGACGAAATTGGCAAAATTGGCAAAAACAAAAGGAATAACGGTATTATGTGTGCCTCCGTATCATTGTAAACTAATTTCAAGTTAAGGCAGGTTTATAAACAGACATAGTACATAATCATAAGTCATAAACATAACTTCAACCACAATAATAATTCATAAGATTTAAGATTGGTTTATAACTAGACATAATACATAACCATAATATTTAAGAACTACTTCAGAAAATACAAACCTAACCAAATTTTTATAGAGCATGAAGAATTTTTTTCTGGTCTTTAGATTCATAGAAAAGTGAAATAATTTTAATGAATTAATTAATTTTAAATATGAAGATTAATAGAAAAGTTGCTTTGGCCATGGCAGCAGTCCCACTTTATTTACAACTTGTAGCAACTATATCTGCAATAGTTATTAACAAGCAAAGAAGAGTTAGAAGGTTTGGTGTAAGACCTATAAATAGAAAGCGTGATTATTCTAAATAATAATTACGAAACAATACCAAAACAATATGTGGTTGAATTCGCTCCAAAAACATTAAATTAAAATAGTAGGGTTATGTATAGGAGGAAACTGCAGATAATTCTACCAACGCATGCGCATATTCCAACAATTCCATAATGTTTAATACTTAATTCATAAATGTTGAAAGTTACCAACTTTCAAGGTCACGTTTTAAGGACTAAATTTATGTCTTATGTATTATGGATGCTTTTAAATGGGTACATTTATTTATTAACTTTTAACATTATGCTTATATAATAAGATTATGGTTAAAGACTAAAATTATGTTTATGTCCGTTTATAAATCCGGCTTTAATAGGGATTGGAGTTAAAGGTAAATGAGCCAGACAGAATACAATTTTTAAATTGAAGGATGTCAAACAACTTTTGTTAAATTCATACAAAACATAACGAAAGATAACTGTACCAATACTGTAAACCACGTAAAAAAGTTGAGGAAAGATTGTGGACTGTTGATAATAATATTAAAGAACATTGTCTATCCATAATCATTCCCAACAAGCTGGAGAATGAACCTGACACAGAAGAAAAGAAAGAGATGGAAATCTACAATTTATAAGTAAATCAGTATCATATCATTTATAAGTAAATATATGTAAATCAGAAGTTTTTAATTAATGTACATTGCTTAGATGTTAGATATCAATACGATGCATTCGCATTAACAATAATTTTATTTAACATATAAATCTGTCCCTTTTTGATTCTCCAACACTGACCCATTATTTTCATAACTATTAGGTATACAATCCATCGGTTTGTATTGTTATTTCTATGTGAACAGGGCGAACTCTTAGAAAAATAATATTTGAAGCTACATTTCAGTGGGGAGGATTTTATTTTGAATAATTTATTAAATAATCCTTTTTTATTGCTGACCTCTTTCTCATTCTAGCCACATATCGGTTTTCCTTCCTTAGCTAACGCAAGAAGAATATCACCAAGTTTTTTAAAGTAAACAATGTTTTGTTAGCGCTGCTTTTCTCGAGTTTTTAGTTCAACTTCTTTGTGCTCGCTTTGTTGTACTTCAATTGCCTGACTTGTTTTAAAACTTTGCCAAGAGTATAAACTTTAAGAATTGTGTATGTGGTATTTTGATGAAATTTGATACTTTTTACAACTTCATTCCAAAAGGAAAACCAATAGAAGTGAAGCTGTCTCCATAACTCTACCGGTAGTGTTCGTTCCAAAATATTGACAAACTGTCTTGTTTGTCAATATTTTGTTTTCAATTCGACTGTATAATATTCAAGTCATTTATTAAAGATATCATCGGTATTATTATTTCGCAGATTTAGGAGATCCAACAAGAGCAATTTTAAATGTTTTATAATATTGTTATTGATTATCATAGAAAAATATCATGTACATTTTAAACAATAAATTATTTTTTCTAAACAATTAAATATTCACAGAATTTAAGTAAATAACAACCGAATTCATATATATTCCATTTTTTAGTCTCCACAGTGTCAAATACTTTTACAAATTAAGATTAGCAATTAAGATTTGTATTTACCGTTAATTCATTCTTAAAGAGCGAAAAATCCGAAATACATATAAGATACCTTAGAAAGTTCAAGTTTACGATAACAAATTGTTGCGTACGTGAAGTATTGATAACCTCTTTTTTACATTTATAAAGTACTTCAAACTGTATCAAATTATTAATCAATACAGAGTTTGAAAAGATAAATGCCAGGCCAATAGTAAGGATTAGTTATCGTGTCTCATATTTATTGGCATTTGATAGTATAATTTCATTCAGAAAATTATATATTTCATTGGAAAAGGTACTGAAAAAATACGACGTATTTGTTATTGCCTCAACTTTGGATTCTTCAGGTTCCTAACCCATTCGCTGTTTGTACCTACTCCTTGACCATCCCAAGGAGCTGCACATGATTTTTTCAATAAAAACTTTCTGTAACCATTTTACCCATGTGATATCTTTATAAGTATACTAAGGTGTCAATGTCATAAATTTTTATTTACTGGTTATTAACAAGATAAAGATTTTCGTGGCTAAATAACTCATAACAATGTATTTGTCACCAATCCGTGCCGACGAGCACTGCATAGAAAATTTTTTGACCAGTGCACATGGCACGGATACGTCTCACATGTCAAAATTGACATCTGAGTAATAATTTTACATCTCTTAATCCAAAAAAAGACTTTTTTAATAACATTTTTTTATTTTTTACAAAAACAAATAGCCGCTTCTGGGCATGTCTTAAATCAAAATGTAGCAGTGAAAGGGTTAATAAGTGATGGAAAAAGTTACATACCAATCAAATGTAAACAAAAAACACAATTTTAAATTAATGAAAATGTATTTTAGAATAAACTACAAAAAGGATGTTAAACACCAAAATTCTCTTGTGTATGTTGTTGGCATACCAATCTGCGGTAGAAGCTGCATATAATGTTGGAGTTGGACGAGCTGATTGCACAGGACCATCAGCAGAAATAACCTTTGTAAGTATTTTATTTTGAATAAAAAATAACAAATAATTTAAAATTTGATCTTTTACAATATTTGCCATCATTGATAAATCTTCTTCTTCTTAGAGTGTTGTCTCCCTACGTAAGTTAGCAATCATAACTTTTGAACTTACTGCTCTACACTAGTCACTATCTTTCTTCTTCATGTGCCTTGTCCGTTCCGAACGTTGGCAATGAACATGGCTATTCTGACTTTGTTTACGGCAGATCTGAATAGTTCAGTAGATGACAATCCGAACCATTGCCGCAAGTTTTGGAGCCACGAGTGTCTTCTCCTCCCTGGACCCCTTCTGCTGTCTATTTTCCCTTGAACGATCAGCTGTAGTACTCTACATTTATTATGTCTCATAACGTGACCCAAGTATTCCAACTTTCTTTTCTTTATACTTATTCCTACCTCTCTCTCTTTATTTATCCGGCGTAGTACCTCTTCGTTGGTCACGTGCTCAGTCCAGGGTATACGTAATATACGTCGGTAAGCCCACATTTCGAAGGCCTCTACTTTTTTCATCAATGTTGCGGTCATTGTCCACGCGTCCATTCCATATAACAAAACCGGGAATACATAATACTTCAGAAGTCGAATTTTAAGAGGTAGGGTGAGGCTTTTAGAGGTGAAAATTTGCTTCTTTTTGAGTTAACTGTTGTTCCCAAGTAGATGTACGAATCCACGTGTTCAATTCTTTCATTGTCTAATATCAGTTGCTGTAATGGTTGTTGGATTTTGCTTACTAACATCCATTTGGTTTTTGTGATATTTAGTCTGAGTCAATATTGTGCACTTGGTTTTTGTATCTTACTCATTAGGCAACTCAGTTCCTCCATGCTACTTGCTAGAATCATAATGTCATCAGCATACCTTATGTTATTAATTATTTTTCCATTTATGTTTATGCCTTCTGTGCTTTCCTCCAGCGCTGTCTTAAATACTTCTTCTAAGTATATATTAAAGAGAATAGGACAGACCTGTCGTACCCCTTTCTTGATCTCAATTTTATTGGTCAATCTAGATCCTACTTTCACTTTAGCTGTTTGACTTGAGAACTTCAATTATCTTTTCGTGCTTTACGTTATCGAATGCTTTTGCGTAGTCTATAAAACATATGTACACGTCTTTGTTCATATCTCTGCAGCGCTGGATGAGTACCTGTAGACTAAAAAGTGCTTCCCTTGTCCCAAGAGAATTCCGAAACCCAATTTGCGAATCTCCAATGTTATCCTTGCATTTTTTGCTTATTCTGTTATAAAATAACCTTGGTGTATGCCTTCGAAATGTGGTTAATTAGACTTATCATCCGATGTTGATCACAAGACTTTGCTTTTGGTTTTTTCGGTATGGCAACAAAAGTTGACTCTAGCCAGTCTTCAGGAAGCTCCCCGCTGTTATAAATATTTTTAAAGAGTCTGACGAGTGAGAAATTGACAGTTTGTTTCGCACAGCATTTTCAATACTTTCCCGTATACGTATAGTCACTATCATAAGGTTAAAATTCATCACTTGAACTTCTATCAAAAATCTTAAATCATTTTGAGTTATTATCTGCTTCTTTATACATCACAGAAGGTTTCGTTCTCAGTTAACTCTTTATTGTATTTTGGTCCAATATACAAGTTAACAAGTTTCTTGCCACGGTATAACTGCTCGATCACTTTTTGTATTTTAAAACATACAATCAGAGTCACTGTGGATTTTGTAATTATTAAATTACAAAGATTACTATTATTGCACTCACAATAATGTACACACAGAAATCTAACCTAGCAATAATAGACCAATGTCAAATCAAATCGAAGGAAGTTCTGTTAAAAAAAAACGGATAAATGTCAATGATATTCACCTATACATAAATTACGTTTTTACAAGCATTGGAGCTGAAGTTTACATTGGTCCTTTTTGCTTGTAAAATTAGTGTTCATTATCGATAAACATTGGCCAAAAGTAATGTTGTAAGTCTGTTGATACTCAATCTAGATATTAGCCACTTTAACACATTGTTTTTTATTTGAAATCTAAGACATAGGCCCAAACAGTCTAAAACTGACATTAGCCGTTTTAGAACCAAGCTCCTTTTAGAACATGCTGGAGTAAGCAATAAATATTAATATAGGGTTCCAAAATTGTCCTCTTGGATTGCTTGAACGTTAAGAGTAGACTATTTTAACAGCTGCTTTCTACTTTTTTTAAAACTTTTTGATACTGCATGAAAGAGTGAGCGATGCCTTAATGGTTCAAATTTTAAATATATTCAATATATACATTAAGAAACATTGTGAAATTAGTTTTGTATGCAAATAAAGTGTATTGTATTTATTTTAAAGATGGGCTATGCAAAATCTGGTCAGAAAGGATGTGGAATCCACTTAAGGCAGTTTTCAAGAGCCTTTGTGATTAAATATGAGAAAACTCTAGTTGCATTTGTGTCAATTGACACATGTATGATGAACCATCCCCTAAAACAAGCGGTAAGTGTCAAAAACATTTTCTTTTTCGACAAATTTTATCATTTTTTTTCCTCTTCAAATAAAATTTTTTACGGTTTTTTAACGGTTTTTAGGTAATCGATAAATTGAACGCAAAATATCCTAATGTATTTACTCTGAAGAACACTATCCTCAGTGGAACTCACAGTCACAGCACACCTGGAGGCTTCCTAAAGGATGTAATGTTGGACATACCTAACTTGGGTTATTGTGACGATACCTTCAACGCGTTGGTCGCGGGAATTGTTCGAGTAAGTAAAACTTTTCTGAGGATCACGTATATATCATTTGGCTCAATCAACAAATACATTCACTGTTTTTTATTACATACGCTTTCTGATCTACGTTTTTAAAAGTTCTTCTGATTTAGTCTATAGATAAAGCATACAACAGTCTAGTAGAAGCAAAAATTATTCACAGTACTACTACAATAACTAATACAAACAGGAATAGAAGTCCAGCTGCTTACCTCTATAATCCAGAATCAGAAAGAAAAAAGTAAGTTATGAAAATATTTTTAATCCTTTAGTGATCAATTTCTTTACGAACACCTAATTTAAAAAGAATGTTAATCGTTGATAGTAATAAGTTTTACGCTGTTCTCCGAGTGTAGAGGTTCCCTCTCACCGGCTCTGGAACCAGATTGAGCCATGTGTTACCTATAGTCAAATTTAATTTAATACTGAACATCACAGTTATTTTACAAGAAAATGTACAATATTTCATAACTAAATGTAATTTAAAGGGTTTTTACCCTAGTATTTTGGTGGCTCAGGCATTGTGACCTAGCATTTTTCGATTTTAAAAAACCTGATGATGGACTGTGTGGTCCGAAAACATTTGTTTTATTGATGTGGCCCTTTTAAGGGTTTTTTTTAAATAAATATACCCATTTACAAAGATTAACCTCTTTTTCTTTTTTTTTTCCTTTTTTTTTTAATAAGTTTATCAAAATTTATCTCAATTAGAATTAGCTTTCCAGATTCTTTCGTCTTTTCATAAATTGTCGTAGCTAATCAACCCCAGCTTGCTTGTTTTCTGTCCAAGATTCAGGAACAACCAGTTTGTTTACATCCGCCATCTCCCACTCAAGTCTTCTGCAAAATACCAATTGTTTTATTTCTTTTTATACTTCCACTCAATTCGTAACTCTTCCATTTTATGTAAAAAATTATTTAATATCTCTACCTCATTTCATATTTCTATTTTTATCTTCCATATCTGATTTGAATTGCTCACTTTCCAAGAAATATTTTCGTTATTTTGTATTCGATGAACCAGGTGTCTTTATGTTTCTGCTCTATCCTTGCTACGTCATGAATACTTTCTAAATTCATAATGTTCAATAAAATATACTACCTTCTCAATTTTGAATCGACTAACCTCTTCATTTTATCCTTTTTAGATATTATTAGTATTATTCAATCAAAAGATATTCACATATCGATTTATAGAATAATCCCTCCCTTTAACTAGGGGTATTAGTTAAAAATAAAAACGAAAACATTTCACCGTTAATATTTGAACGCGAATATTCATCTCAAACCGAAATTTTCTGACTTGAGCAGAGCATTATCTCCAAAACTTGGAACACTTACTAATCAGTACTAATAGATAGCCTGTACGGCCGGTTGCCTATACAGTAGATTTTATTGATTTAAAATTATTTAATATTAAATAAAATTAGTTAATTAGGATAAAGGAAACATTTCATCGTAGAATAAAAATATAAATAATGCAATTATATAATATTTTAAATAAATATTTAAATTACTTTCTTTGCTAATTGTTTTTTAAATACACATTTTTTTTTAAGGAATAGTACTTTTCTTTTTCTCTAAGTTATTGATTAAACAAATCCTCTTTTTTTCTTTTAAAAAATTAAAAATGGTTGTTTGTCAAAAAAAGACATTATTGTTTTTAATTGAAGGGTCCAATGCATAAACCGGGGAAGTCCACTTTTTGGGCAAAATGCACATTCATGCATAGCAATGACGTTATGTTATATTTCCAGTGCATAAAGCAGCTCAACTAGAGCGTATAATGTGTTGCCTCCATTTTGTATAAACGGGTGGAGTCCAGGCCAGGACTTGACCGGTTAATGCACAGTGCTCTTAGTCCTCAGTCAAATAGGTTATCATTCATTGCGTTATTGTTGTTGGCATCAAGGTGTTATTATTTTGAGTAATTCACAGTATTTATTAATAATTTTAAAGTTAAAAATAATATCTACTGATACAAAAAGTGTCAGTGATCCAAGGCACCCATACATCCAGTGACAAAGATTATGTGCCAAATAAAATAAACATAACCACAAAATTCAGTCCCTTACAAACTATACTCCATTAGACGATTCCTTTAGCTCTGATGGAGAAAATAAAGAACCTGAAGTCATCCCTAATACGTCAGATGTTCCCGAAATGTCTAATAAAGATCGATTCAAACAAATCAGTCACGTCTCGTCACAGTCCCGGCGCCGAACCGAACAATCCGTCATAAAAAATATTCTTTTATAGAAATATGCCGCTGACATTCACATTCATCAAATGACGAACAGTTTCCCAGCTGTCAGATAATTAATAGTTCTGTGAACAAACAGGACCGGTTCGGCGCCGGGACTGTGACGGGACTGACGTGTTCGAATCGACCTTAATACGACACAAAAAAGAAAAAAGCGACTTTTACGTGCAGCATCATGGAAAAGAAATATACGAAAAAATAAACGAGTTAAGGGTGAGCCTTATTTGACCATTACTGGTGTACATAAACCCGGAAAACATATCGGTACTAACTGCAACTGTAAGCTAAAGTGTTTTGAAGAAATTGGGCATGAAAACTGTACCAAAATATTTCGCGATTTTTGTACCATGGGAACAAAAGATCTCCAAGATGCTTATTTATATGGAAATATTGACAAATTAGAATTTAAACGAGTAAGACCACGTTCTGGCCAAGGAATGAAAAAGAAATCTTACAAGGTAATATTACTGGTTGAAATATGAAATATAAAGACAGAAGTAAATTACCCTGTGACAGAAGCTTTTTAGCAATAGAAAGACAAAAACGGAAACATGACAAAATTTATTTACCCCAAGAATACTCAAAAATTATTGAAAATAGTAAAAAAAAGTTTCAAGTTATTAATGTGACTCAAGATATGTTTCTGAACTTTAAGACCCATTTTAAACAATTTTTTGTGAAAAATCCTTTCCAGGAAAACAACCAATTTATCATCTCAAAATATCGTGTCATGCCATATGAAAAATTAGATAGTGAAATGACGTTTAAATGCAGCCAAGCCGTCAACTTTACTGTATATATTCAATACTTTGAAATAAGAGATAAGAGGAACTTGCGGCCCCTGACCTTACCAAACCATGACCAAGTTGTACACTGAAATGAGAAAGCTGAAAAACAAGACCTTTCTGGCTTCCTCTCTATTGTTACTAATATTAAAAAATCTAAAGAATTGGCGAGAAAACTCTTTGCGCCCCCTTTTCCAATACATAAAAAAAGAAAACTGTAACGTTTTCCCACAAGTGAAACCTAATGTAACTTTTTAGTGGACTGTAGACAATAATTTAAATTTAGAAAAATTATAAAACTTTTAATTTAAAATGTTCTAGGTATGACGCTGACGTGGATAAGGAGCTAGTTCAAATAAAGTTTGTGCGTACCAAAGATAATGTTGCAATTGGTGCAATCAATTGGTTTGCTGTACATCCCACCTCAATGAATAACACCAACTGTTTGGTACATTCTGACAATGTGGGGTATGCGTCTCTTTTGCTAGAATCTTATGTTAACACAGGATCCTTACCAGGTCAAGTAAGTACTAAATATTTTGTACATTAGAATTATTAATGGTTGTCTTCAATGCACGTATTTCACCAAGAAGTACTTAAATTTTTTTGTTTAGAGTAAATATTTTGATATATGTGAATATCTAGTCACTGAACGATGAAAGTAATATTTAGATGTGAGGTAAAACATGTAATAAAAACGAATATTTGCTATTTAACTCTAAGATCATTATAATTTTGTGGATATCAATTTGTTTGATTTATAATTAAAAACTAAGTAGGATGATTCAAAGTTTGTACTTACTTAGACCTCACAAATATGGCGATAGAAACGAAAAGAGCCAAACCATTATAGAATTTCTTCTGCAACACAGGATGTATACATGAACACTTATTTTAAAAGAAGCTTAAGCTTAAAAAGAAATATACTTGGCAATTACCAAATGGCTTGAACAAAAACGAGATTGACTTTTTTAATAATTAACAAAAAAGACGTTGTTCAAGACAAAACTGCATTAAATCAATTTTCAACCGAAAGTGACCATAGAATGTTTAGAGAAAGAAGGAAAAGCGAAAGATAAGCACACAACACACATTACAGAGCTAAGGAATTTAAACAAAACCATTTCAAAAGCCGTTAGAAAAGGAATAAGATACTTAACACTAAAGAAAAAACTAATACCGCAAAACAAAACAAAAGCTTAAAACAAAAGTTTAAGATAGGAACAAGGAATATTTATAAGTTAAAAAATAAACAAGCACATGCTATATAAGAACAACAAGAGACCTTGAAAATCATCGAAGGGGCATTATATAGTCAATATGCTAACATTTCAGAGGTAGAAATCCCAGCAATACAAAATGAAGGATCAGAAGAACATCCAGATAAAAATTAAATCAGCGTCAAAAGGTACACAACACGTGAGGAAGATAGCACTGTAAGTGAAATGATAAAAGTAGGAGACGAATGTGTTTTAAAAATTCTCCATAACGTCTACCTTTTTGAAGGAGTTAAACCAGGCAAATGGAATAGTGTCATTATAACAGTATTGCATAAAAAAGGAGATTTAACAGAAATTGGAAATAACAGTCCTATCAACTTGTTAATGTCATTTATATAAGCTCTTTATCAGAATACTTACTAACAGACTGGGGCTAATCTAAATTTTATCCAACCACTAGGCAAGCCGGATTTAGGAGTGACTTTGGAATGAATGACCACCTACAAGTGATAAAATCCTTCATAGAGAAAGTTATAGAATACAATAAGCTATTGATGTAAATATTTGTAGACTTGATGATGATGATATACCATAAAATATGTATTAACGAATTCTTCTTCTTCGCGTGTCTGAACAATGGAATAATTATCCTGCATTTGGTATCTGAGTCCATTCATGTTTTTTATTTTCCAGATAAGACATTTTTCGATGTCTAACAGTCTTTAGCAGTTCTCTATCTTTGTTGAGGCTCCTTAGTACTTCTTCATTAGTTTTTCTTGCTGTCCAAGGTATCTTCAGCATTCGTCTATGAACCCACATTTTCAATGCTTCAATTTTGTTTATGATCGATACTCTTCACACACGACAGCGTTCACACTTTTACACTATACAAAAGTACGGACCATACATAGCACTTAACAATTCTTTGCCTTAGTTCTAAACTGAGATGGTTATTACAAAGAAAAGACTTCATTTTCATAAAAGTAGTTTTAGTCATTGCTATTCTATGTTTTATTTCTATGTCTGGATCAAGTTGGTCCGTTATTATATTTCCCAAATATGTAATTTTGTGAACTTTCTCAACTTGGGTCCGTTTAATTTACTTTACTACTTTTATGTTATCATTCTCTATTAGTTTTAGCAACTCAGTTGGTGTATCATCTGGACCACAAGCTTGTCTAATGTTATCATTATATACAGCTGCCATTCTTTTCTTATTTCGTGCTCATTTGCAATAATTTTGTTATTATTGTCAACGAGTACAAAGAGAACTCGTGTTTTAAATATGTTACTCATTTCTTTTAGTTTTTTGTGCACATTAAATAAGTCTTGTTTAGATATTACATCCTCCATTTCGTCGCACTTTTATCTCATCCATTTTTCTCTGGCTAATTTGATCTCCTTTTTTATGAATTCGTGTTAACCTTAGTTTAATATCTGCTACAAGTGGTTGATGATCAGATCCAATATCTGCCCCAGGATATGTAGTTACTTTTTTGACGGCATTTTGGAAACGCTCATTTGCAAGTATATAGTCTATTTGATTCCTTACAGACTCAGCGATATTGCCATCATCAAATGGGGCTTTCCAAGTGTATAGTCGTCGCTTGACTAGTTTATACCAGGTGTTTGTAATGATCATATAGTTTTCTTTAAAAAATTCATACAATCTCTGTCCTCGATTGTTAGGTTGTCCTAAACCATAAGGACCTACAGTCAGATCTCTTCGACCTTCTCCAATTTTTGCATTGAAGTCGCTTATAATATATAAAATTTCGTGTTTATTAAGTTTCTGTAAATGTCTTGGATTTGATCATACAACTTCTCGACTTCATCGTCATATTTTCTATCTGCAGTCGGGGCATAGATTTGAAGTGTGTTAGTTTTAAATGGTTGAGTATTTATTTGGAGTAATATTATTTATATTAACGAATTATAACCACAAGCATTTTTTTATTCACAACATGAATTTACTCCTTTTTAGGGCGATTTTGTAGGAGCTTTTGCCTCTACTAATCTGGGTGACACCTCGCCAAATCTTAAAGATCCTATTTGTGTCAATACAGGAGAACTATGTGATTTTGTTCATAGTACTTGTCCCGGAGGAAGTCAATATTGTATCGCCTTTGGTCCAGGTAAAGACATGGTCGATAGCACCAAGATGATTGCTACTAATTTGTTTGAAAAGGGAAAGGTAAATATTTATTTTATTTATTAGGAGTAGTATTTCGAGTGTTACATAGCATTGAAAAATCATTAAGTAGTCGATGATGATTAAATAAAATAAAATACTAGTTTATTGAAGGATGTTAGGCTTAAAGGGGACAATGTCCAATAACCATAGTTTTCAAAAAATCAAAATATTAAAGTTAGTAAGTCTTGACGACAGGGGAGTAAAGGAATGTATTTTTCTAATAAAAAAGTTTCTGGGTTAAACATAACAAAAAATTCAAAATCTAATTCACATTAAAAGTAACTTTTTCTTAATTTTGTTGCAAATCATATTTAGAAATCACAACAAATAAAACAAAATTTTATGGATAAAATGACTTAAAATGTTTAAAACTCAAATGGCACTGGTTTTCCAAAAGTGGGGAACATTACGAAGAAATTTAGCTGCTCTTTTGTCACAGAAGTAAAAAAAATGCTTTATGTCATTGTATTTTTCTTTAATTACTGGTACAATTTTTTAATACGATTATTAAAGAAGTAGGAACAAACTGTTCTGAGTAAGACACACTGGGCAGATCTTGAGCACACTGTTGAGTTTCCTTAATAATCTGCATGATATTAACACCATTGCAGTTATTTCGAATTCTCACATACTTACACTAGCCGGATTTTACAAGAATGTCTTTTACATGTAATCGTGTTTTACATGTAATCATGTAATCGAATGAACTATCTTTTCAATATCATTTTAAAGTCGTCTACTTTAAAATGCATAATGTATGTCTAAATTGTCAATATAAATGAGTCTGATAAAATTAAATTATTAGAAGAATTTTTCACTCTGTAACAAAAAAACAAAATTTGTTTAATTTTAATTTTGAGAACGATTTCCGAAGGGGAAATTGAAACGTCAATAAACGTATTTTTATCTTTAATTGTGGCTTATTCCCAGTTAAATAATAATTAATTTAAAATGCCACAAGAAAATAGCTTCAGAACAATATTAAATATATTTACAAAAGGAACATTTTTATTCTCGAGAGAGAAAGGGAAAGTATATCTTTTGTCTCTCTCTTACCTATATCTTACATATATAGTGATTTTGCCGATTTACTACTCTACAAATTTCCAACGTCGAACACGCGTATAGAAGTATAACTTTAAAAAAATCTGTACTTGCTTTCAAATAATGTATTTTTCCGCAAATCGCCAGGAAATTTTGACATTCCTGTCAAAATTTCTTGAAGAAAAAGTCAGGACTTCCTTACTGTAAGGAAATGTCATTTCCTTACTGTAAGGAAATGATATTTCCGTACAGTTGTTAGTACGGAACATCATCACTTATCATTTTACTTTCGAAAACACCAGCAATTAAATTTATAAGCGTCAAGTTTGACAATTCAACCTCAATACGTTTCCATAGTAACCCAAGTAATTTTATTAGGAATTTCAAAGCACCATTTATTTGGGAATAAAATTATCGCGTTTTTTTTAAAATCAATCAATATCTGTCGAATTTTAAACGATTTGCGGAAAAATAGTATGTTTACCTCGTAGGAAAAGCCACATTCCTGGACTCTGTGTTGCTAAGTCTCGGCTTGCGCCTCGACTTAGCAATCTTCAGAGTCGTCCAGGAATGTTAAGCTTTTCCTACGCGGTAAACAATGTACTATTTCCGCAAATCGTCAGGAAATTTTTACATTCCTGTCAAAATTTCTTGAAGAAAAAGTCAGGACTTCCTTACTGTAAGGAAATGTCATTTCCTTACTGTAAGGAAATGATATTTCCGTACAGTTGTTAGTGTTAACCAGCAATTAAATTTATAAGCGTCAAGTTTGACAATTCAACCTCAATACGTTTCCATAGTAACCCAAGTAATTTTATTAGGAATTTCAAAGCACCATTTATTTGGGAATAAAATTATCGCGTTTTTTTTTTAAATCAATCAATATATCTCTCGAATTTTAAACGATTTGCGGAAAAATAGTATGTTTACCTCGTAGGAAAAGCCACATTCCTGGACTCTGTGTTGCTAAGTCTCGGCTTGCGCCTCGACTTAGCAATCTTCACAGTCGTCCAGGAATGTTAAGCTTTTCCTACCCGGTAAACAATGTACTATTTTTTTAGTAGTACATTGTTTAAAAAAAATCCGTTCGTTTTTAAACAAGGGCAATACTACAGGGCGTCGAAGTTTTTAGTTCTTCTAGTATTACTAGCTATTACTTAACTTATTTTATTCAGCAGTTAAAACCGGTGATTTTTCCAATTGAAATATGTAATCCAACGCATTTCTTTTAGGAACTACTGGACGGTACAGACGGAACAACAATAGAGGGTGATATACAATTTATTCACAAATTCTCACATATGCCTAGTCAAACCACTACTTACAAATTGGAAAATGGAACAACAATTAATGTAAGCTAAACATTTTTATCTCTATTTTTGATTATATTTATATTTATTTTATATTCTAGGCTAGGGGTTGTCTCCCAGCAATGGGATATGGTTTTGCTGCCGGCACTACCGACGGTCCTGGAGAATTTGATTTTCAACAAGCAACTAATACGAGTAACCCTTTCTGGAATGTTGTAAGGGACTTTATTTTCCCCCCAACACCAGATGATGTTGCGTGCCATTATCCAAAACCTATACTTATCATGTCAGGAAGAGTTAGTATTTTGGAATATTTTTTAAAAGTAGTAGAACCAAGTGGGACAATTATGAGGCATTATTTAAATCTTTTGATTTTTGATTCCTAAAAGGCAATACAATTAAAAGCGTAAAAAATTTTTATAGGCAAAAATGCACTATACCAAAAAAGTATCACATCATCTATGAAATTGCAAATTTTGTATTAAAAATAATTTAAAACATGGATTTTTTATTGTTGTTTTTCTTTGTTTTTTTTTAAGTACTTAACATGTATTAAAAGAAAAATGCAGAATGTACGAAAAACAAAAGTTTTATTTAATTTATTTTATAAATTAGAAGTAAGTGCACAAACAGCATTGAATAAAAAAAAATAAAAATCAAAAGTAATGATAATTTAGTAATACGTATTGCCTCTTTTAACATCTAGACAACGTGGTGACATACTTCCAATTAATCTTCTTATATAATCTTGATCGATATTATCTCTTCTTCTTTTTTCTACTTTAAAAATAGGCTTATTGTCTGTTTTACTTTGGTTTTTAGCCTCAATTGACAATTGACGTTGTCTGACCATCTTTCCTCGGTCGTCCCTGATCTTTTTCCATTTGACGATTTGTCTCTTGCTATTCGTACTATTCTATTTTCTGTCATTCTTTCGATGTGTTGATTCCATTCCACTTTTCTTCTTTTGGTCCACGCGTTTATTTCCTCTATACCACATCTCGTTCGTATTTCTTCACTTCTTACTCTGTCTCTTAGAGTTTGGTTTGTTATTTTTCGTAAGACTTTCATTTCTGTTGTTTCCAGCAGTCTTTGTGATTTCGCCGTATCTGCTCTTGTGTTCGCTAGATAAGACAACTTCTAGGCAAACGATTAAAGTCATATTTCAAGTATCAACTTTTGTAAAAATGTAATATTTGTGTCTCATTTTTCACCCTACATACTTACCCTTCATATCTTACGCTAAAGCTAAGATACCACATGGAAACCATTATCTACTGATTAAACATGAACTTCTTTTTTGTGGGAAATTGTACAAATATGTCGTCGTCCTCCATAACATCGGATATATCTAGATCTTAATTGGATTCCATTTCATTCTCCACGATATCGTTTAGTGAAAATTTTTCCGTGTCACTTTCACCTTCAATGTACTAAATTCATCAATGAACATTACCACACAAATACAAACAGATCCAGGTTGACCTTGAAAAATAATTGGTAGTGGTATTAACGAAAATTTGGTATTTTCTTTTTTTTAACGCTGTTTAGTCCTATGAACTTTTTGCCCCTTCCAAACAACTCTTTCATACTGGAAATATCGAAAGAAAAACTGGATTTATGTATGTTCCATATGAGCTCAGATGAGTTACTTAGGTTTACTTTGTTGATGGTTTCCTGCACGTGGTTGCAAAATTCACAAACAAACCAAAAATTAATCGCTGGTTGCAATTCGTATATTTAATTCTAATTGTTTCATCTTCTTCTAGCTTAACTTTTGCATTTTATTCTTCTTCTTCTTCAAGTACCCTGTTTGGCTATTAACACGGCAATTTTCATCTTGTTTGCGGTGCTTCTGAATAGTTCGACCGATGTGAGCCCGAACCACTTCCGCAGATTTTGGAGCCACGAGTGTCTTCTCCTGCCTGGCCCTCGCTTACTGTCTATTTTTCCCTGGACAATCAATTGTAGCAAACGGTACTTATCGTGTCTCAATATGTGGCCTAGATATTCAAGCTTTCTTTGTTTAATTGTATTCACGATTTCTTTCTCCTTTCCGATTCTTTGGAGTACCTCTATGTTGGTGACATATTCGGTCCAGGATATACGAAGAATACGTCGGTACACCCACATTTCAAATGCTTCTAGTTTTCTCGTTAGCGTCTCCGTCAGCGTCCAGGCCTCCACGCTATACAGCAAGATTGGAACAATGCAGCTAACTATACGTAGTTTTAGGGGAAGAGACAAATCCTTGCTTCTGAGGAGCTTTTTCATATTGCTAAATGCTGCTCTACCTCGTTCTGTTCTCGCCTTAATTTCTATGACTTGTTCCCATTTTGCATTTACGTTGGTGCCAAGGTACACATAAGATTCTACTTGGTCAATTAGTATGTTACTTATCCGTAATTGTCGAGCAGGTTGTTGCTTTTTTGCTTATCAGCATCTACTTGGTCTTCTTGAAGTTGAGGCTCAGGCCGTATTCCTCACTAACTGAATTAAGTCTTTCTATTACTTGTTGTAATTCGTCTATGGTACTTGCAAGGATCACCGTGTCGTCGGCATATCTTATATTGTTCGTTAACTCGCCGTTTATTTTTATGCCCTCATTTGCATTTTCCATACATTTGTTAAATATTTCCTCGGAATACATATTGAATAGGAGTGGCGATAATATACACCCCTGACGGACACCTCTTTTGATCTGCACGCTTTCAGTGAGTTCGTTGCCAATTTTTGCTCTTGCTGTTTGACCCCAGTATAGGTTTGCCACAATTCGAATGTCCTTGTCGTCAATACCTGTCTTTCGCAGAATACCTATCAATTGTTCATGATTGACATTGTCAAATGCTTTTCTAAAATGTACAAAGCACAAATACACGTCCTTATCAACGTCTCTACACCGCTGTATAAGCACCTGGAGAGCGAAAACTGCTTCTCTAGTTCCAAGTGCTTTCCGAAAACCAAACTGCGATCTATCAATATTTGACTCACATTTATCATATATTCTTCTATGAATGATCTTAGTCAACGCTTTAGTGACATGATTGATCAAGCTTATAAGCCGGTAGTCATCACAAATCAGGGCATTTGTTTCTTCGGGATTGTAATAAATGTTGACTGCAGCCAGTTCTCCGGGATTTTACCGCTATTATATATGTTGGTATAAAGTACAACTAGATTATCAAGGAACTGTTTGTCTGATTTACATAGGATCTTTAATATTTCACAGGGTACATTGTCCGGACCTGCTGACTTATTGTTTTTAGTGCTGCAATGGTATCTTCTATCTCCGATTTAAGGATTGAAGGTCCTGTTTCTCCTTCTTCATATAGGTGATCATCAGTCCTGTCAGATGCTCCCTTTTATGCTGTTGGGTGATTTATTGAATTTCCTCTTGTTTGTCATCGATTTTATTTTTTTGTGCGTATTGTAACTGTCGTATTTTCGTTTGTATTTTTCTATTTCCCTGCATTCGTTGGAAACCCATTTTTCTTTGGCTTCTCGAATTTTCGTTCTTATGGTTTTTGGATCGGCTGGTATTTTTCTGCATTTTTTTTTTATAAAAAATTTTCTGCTTTTATAAAAAGCACTAAACCAGTCGTGAACAGGTTTGTTGTTTTTAAATTGAGTTGTGATGTTATGAACCGTTCTTGTTTTGTCTTGGCACAACCCCACTTGGCAAAAATTCTAATTTTTTCCGCCAGGTCATGCTCCATTTCGGATCTAAGACCGTTCCGACCTTGTATTTTATTGTGTTGTCCATGAAACCGTCTACATAACGTGAATTTATCTATTTGAAAGCGGTTTAAAGCCATTATTAATCTAATAATATCTTCTTTGATAAGATTTAATGCTGCCTGAAGATCTTTATCGTTACCTATATGATTTTAGCCTTTTCACGACTATGAAGCTATTCTCGGTATATCTACTGATTTATCAATTTACCGATTTAAACCGAATCTAATAGCGACTCTAACGATGAAAGTTGTTAAACGAAATTAAAATTGTTTTTATTCAACAATGCATAACTAATATTTGCGCTTTTTTAATACATTAGTACCACAATTGTATTTTTCCTTTAAAAATATTGTCTCATATTTGCATCACTTTTTTCAGTGTCCTACATTTCCACAACATGACCCTACATTCAGTATTTTTCATATTCGTTCTCTTCATTCTTTCTATATTTAAGTTTTGCTCAAAACAGTTTGCAAATACAAAACTTGAAACTTGTAATATTCTTCTTTTAGATTACTAAGCCATACGAATGGCAACCGGTAACAGTTTCTAATCAGTTAATAAAAATAGGACAGCTTGTTCTGATTGCTGTTCCTGGAGAATTTACAACCATGTCTGGAAGAAGATTGAGAGATGCTGTTAAAAAAGCAATTATTTCAAACGATGGACCCGAAGATGCAAAAGTTGTTATAACGGGTTTAAGCAACGTTTACACTAATTATATTGCCACCCCAGAAGAATATCAGGTGAGTTGTTTTTGATTTTTTGACAAGTCGGTCATTGTTAATAAATCTAAAATTTTCATCTACCACTTAAACAAGTTTATACGAACAATTCAGAATATTTTAAAGTCCTACTTTCTCCTATTTTAAATATTTTTTAGTATCTCTTTTACGCACTATTTTGTTGTTTTTTTTTAGTTTAGTTTTTTTCCGTACCGTCTTTCAAGTATTCCTCTTCTTTAATACCATTCACTGCCTCTTCATAACAGATTCTTGAAATATTCTTTTTGTCATCTTGTATATTTATATTATTTTTTACTTAGTTTGACATATAAGTTTGATAATAATTAACAAAATAAAAGAGGCCAAGGAAAAGTGGATGATGGAAACACGCATCGAAGTGGAAGAATTGCAGAAAAAGCATGATCATTATAATTTACATAAAAAAGTGAAAGAATTATCTGGAAAATCACGAAAAAAATACACCTAACCGATTAATTGACAAAAATAATAAACCTATTAATAACCCGAATGAAATCAAACAAGCATGAGCTTCTTCTTCTTATGGTACCCTATCCAATTAGTGGATATTGGCCACAATTCTGGCATACTCCTCTCGATCTTGTGTGGCTCTCAAAAGTGTATGGGCATCGAGATTTGTCCAATCCCTTATGTTTTTAAGCCAGTATTTCTTTCTTTCGATGCCTCGTTTTCCTTCTAAGCATGGACTAAATATATTAAAGATCCTTTCATGGTCACAAGAACGGAACCAACACAAATTGATGACCAAGAAGCTCCAATATTATTAAAATCTGAAGTCCAACATGCTATAAACAACTCAAAATCTGGCAGAGCCCTTGGGCCAGATGAAGTTCATATCGAGCTGATTACACTTATAGACGGAGACAATTTAAGTGCAATAACTATACTCTTTAACAACATATACAAATCTGGTGAGATATCTACGGAATGGCTGCTATCGACCTTTGTTCCGCTACCAAAAACCAAGAACCCCAAACACTGTAATGGCTATAGATTAATCAGCTTAATGTCACACTTATTAAAAACATTTTTAAAGATTATACATGCAAGAATATTCAGAAAGTGCGAAGTGGTTATGAGTAATAATTAGTTTGGCTTCCGTAACGGCTTCTAAACAGTAAAAGCTCTGTATAGTTTCACAATTCTTGCCCAAAAATGGAGACCAACAAAAAGATCTTTTCGTTGTGTTTATAGACTATGAGAAAGCCTTCAACAAAGTTAAACATAACATCCTCATGGAATGTCTAAAGAGAAAAGGACTCGACAAAAAGACATTAACACAGTGAGAAATCTCTCTTGGAACCAACAAACTGTGGTAATATTAGATATAAATAGCTCGGATGCGCAACAAATAAGTAGAGGAGTAAGCCAGGCTGTGTACTTTCACCATTACTATTTAATATATATTCCGAAGGGTTATTTACGCAAGCACTTGAAAACAGTACAGAAGGGATCAAGATAAATGGTGAAAATATAAATAACATCCATTATGCTGACGATACAGTCATTATTAATGAAAGTGAGACAAACCTGCAGAAGTTAAATAGAAACCATGGTTATCAGTAAGAAGGGCAAAGTCATTACAAGGATCCAGATAAAAAATAAAGATTAAACAAGTGGACCAAATGAAACACTTAGCAGTCTGGATTACGGAAGATCTGAATCCGAAATCAGAAATTCGCTCAAGAATAGAGAATCTGAGTAACCAAAGACGAATGAACTGGTGTTGCACATAATGGGAAGAGAGCGAAATAAGGCGAAAGACAGGATATTTGGGGCACATAATTAGAAATGATAAGTACGAATTGTTGAAGAAAAAATACCACTTGAGTAACAGAACAATACAATCGACACAAATTCCCGAGGAAGACTGGCACTATATTGAGAAAACACTTACAAGAGTAACAGAAGCCTACCTCAAACAAGATACACGAAAAAAGAACAAACCATGGATGACAGAAGAAATTCTAAACATGATGGACGAAAGAAGAAAATACGGAGGTAAAAATGAGACAACATACAAGCAAATACACAAGAATATCAGAATAAAGATCCAACAAGCCAAAGAAACCTGGCTAAGTGAAAGATGCCAAGAAATTGAAGAGTTGGAACAAAGACATGATACTTTCAATCTACATAAAAAAGTAAAAGAAGCCGCTGGAATATTTAAACAAACTCCTACGTCTTTCATCGAAGATAAACATGGGAACCGGCTAATGAACATACAAGATCAAATAGGTAGATGGAGAGAATACGTGGAAGAGATGTTTCAACACCAAAAGAGGACGAACACTTACATGCAGGAGGCATCGAATGGACCTTATATCACAAAGCAAGAAATTATCAAAGCGACAAATCAGATAAAGAACGGAAAAGCTGTTGGGGAAGATAATATCCCAATTGAAATAATAAAGATATTACTAGACGAACACATAGAAGTAATGGAAGATATATTTAACAAAATATACGAAATAGGCATAATACCAAATGATTGGCTGACATCGGTGTTTATACCACTACTAAAGAAGAGAAACTCCAAGAAATGTGAAGACCATAGGATTATTAGCCTGATGAATCATATGTTGAAGCTTTTCCTACGAGTAATACACAATAGAGTATACAATAAACTAGACGAACACACTGGTCAAACTCAGTTTGGTTTTAAGAATGGGTTCGTAACAAGAGAAGCATTTTGTTCAATACGTGTGCTAGTTGAAAGATGTAGAGATGTCGATTCTGATGTATACTTGTGTTTTATAGACTTTCAGAAGGCGTTTGACCTGGTGAAGCATGATAAACTAATAGATATTTTAAAGTCATGTAATATCGACGATAAAGACTTAAGGATCATTTCAAACCTTTACCAAGAACAAAAGGCTAAAATCAGAATAAAAAGCGAAACATCTGGAAAAATCAATATCGAGTAGAAAGTAAGACAGGGATGTGTCCTATCACCTTTGCTGTTCAATGTTTACTCTGAGAAGATATTTCAGAAAGCTTTGGAAGGCACCTCGAATGGTATAATTATAAACGGGCAATGTATAAATAACCTGCGATATGCTGATGACACTGTCATACTGGCAGATAATGCTGAAGCCCTGCAACGCTTAAAGGACCGAGTAACGACAGCCTGTAGAGAATTTGGAATGAAATTGAATACAAAGAAGACAAAAACGATGGTCATCAGCAAGCACCAAAACAGAAGGGTGAAGGTTCAATGTCGACGGAACAGATCTGGAAAGAGTAACAAGAACAACGTACCTTGGAAGTAATCTTGATGAAACTTGGGACCACTCACTAGAGATAAGAATACGCCAGGAAAAGGCACGTACAATGTTTTACAAAATGCAAAAAGTTCTATGAAACCGCCAGCTGGGTATCTCATTGAGAACTAGAATACTTAAGTGCTATGTTTTCTCCACCTTGCTCTATGGTGTTAAAGCCTAGACAATGACAGAAGCAACACAAAAAAGAATCCAAGCATTCGAACTCTGGTGTTACCGTAAAATGCTCAGAATATCCTACATGAGCCATACGACAAATGCGGAAGTCTTGCGGAGGATGAATAAGGAAAAGAGCGTATGCTTATAATAAAAGAACGGAAAACACAATATTTTGGTCACATCATAAGAAATCAAAAGTATGAACTGCTCCAACTTATAATCGAAGGCAAAGTCAATAGCAAAAGAGGACCAGGAAAGAAGACGCAACTCTTGGCTTAAAAACCTACGGCAATGACGAACATGACCTCCATAGAACTATTCAGGGCTGCTACAAATAAGATTAAATGGGCAAATGTAATCGGCCAACGTCCTTAAGGATAAGGCACCGTAAGAAGAAGAAGAATTGTTGCAGCTGATTATGAAGGGTAAAATCGAAGAAAAAAGGGTCCTAATAGACAACAAATATCCTGGCTGAAAAACATTCGCGACTGGACAGGGTTAAACACACAGACACTCTTAAGACAAGTTAAGACAAGTAAAAGATAGAGACGAATTTGCAATGGTTATAGCCAACATTCATTAGTGGAGACGGCACTAGAAAAAGAAAACAAATAAATAAAGGTTCTGTTTCGTTGATATGGTGCATTATTGTCTCGTGAAATAGTCTTGTCGAATATCATTTACAAAATCACTCGACTGGCGTCTCGTGATTTAACTGTCAAAATTTAATTCGCCAAAATTGCCTGGCAACAAACTTTCATACCAGTCGACAATACAACTGCAACATTTTTTCTCTTATGATATTATATACGATAGACAACATGGTCTTTCATAAACAGTCATTAACGAGGAATTTGGTGTTCCAGTTTTAGATTTCCGTAGACTTTGACTTTTATCATTATGTTTTGAACGTGGAATTTTTTTTTTCTACAAATGACAATTTTCTTTATTTTAGCTTCAACGATACGAGGGTGCATCAACTATATACGGCCCTTATACTTTGCCAATATATATCAATATTTATACCCAATTAGTGGAAGCCATGTTAAAGGTAATCAGTTGTTAATAAGTTATTTGATGCCAACTGTTTAATATGAATTCCTTATTAACGCTGGTATTAATATCTTTGTAGAATAAAAATGTGAAGGATGACTCAAGTCCTTATAATTTTCCAAAAGATATGGCCACTCTTATCACCCCAGTTATTATGGATTCAAGCGGTTGGTTTAACAATTTTGGAGATTGTGTCGTGCAACCCAACGACTGCTATGAACCAGGCGCGACAGTTTCGGCAACGTTCGTAAGTTTCGAGGATGACACTATATACACCCTTTTCCTTTTTCCTTCCTTCATAATTAGTTATTTACAAATATACTACAATTTGTTTGGCACGATTCTTATTTTAGGTCGCAGGTCATCCTCGCAATGATGTTATGCAAGAGAAAACTTTTTTGACAGTCCGAAAGCAAGACAATCAAAATCAAGATAAGCCAAGTTGGAAAACTATTGCCACGGATGCTAGTTGGGAAACTAAGTAAATTTTTCTTTGCTCTTTTTCACATACATTTGGTATCATCTGTATTTGACTATAACGTCTTAAGAGAACTAGACACTACTTTTGAGTCTGCACAAAATTTTCAATGATGGTTCTTATATGACAATTTTTAGTAATGGTCAAGTATTTGCGCTCAAAACAATCAAAACGATTTTTTTTTAATCAGTGTACAAGAACCACTTTTAAACTAATTTTTGATGAATCGATAAATAATCTCCAATTAGCTAGTTGCATCATTAAAATCAAGTCACGTATGTCAGTACAATATGCCAGTGAGGATGCAAATTTTATAAGACCCACACTCCTGCTTTATTTGTTTTATGTTTTAGAATGTCCTCAGCTTTCAAACTTGGTAAACCTTAATCATATTTCCCAAGAACAACTTTATTAGAGCCTTTACCAAGTAAAGTGGTCACCGATTGTACATAAATATATGTATTAAGCTACCTATACCAAATGTTTTTAAAAGGGAAGCTCAATTCTTTTGCTGATTTGTTTTTGTGAAACCCTTCATAATCTCTCTCTCTTGTCGTTTCCTCATTGCTGAGGATCGTGATTCCCTACAATGCGGGCTGTCAATTCTCTCCATCTCTTGCGATTTTGGGCTGCTCTCATGGACTCGGAAAACGTCTCTCCAGTGGCTTTCTGTACTTGATCTGACCATCGGATAGGTGAGCGTCCTCGGCCTCTACGCCCTTCTACGTTTCCGCACACAATTAGTCTTTCTAAGTTGTCATTGTCTCTTCTCGCAATGTGGCCAAAAAACTTTAAAACATTTGCAAGACACTGAGAGGAGAGTCTGGTCTGAATGTTTAGCTCTTCGAGAATCGACTGATTGGATCTGTGCTCCGTCCACGAGACGCGTAGCATTTGTCTCCAGCACCACATTTCGAATGCGTCAATCCTTTTCCTATCCTCTGATTTTATTGTCCATGTTTCGGCACCGTAACTAAAGATTGAAAAAAACGAGTGTCCGTACCAGTCTCATTTTGAGTTTTGTGGACAAAGAGCGGTCCTTCCATATTTTTGACAGTCGACTCATCGCGTTCTTGGCCATTCCTATTCTTCTGCGAATTTCCGTATGGCAGGAGGCTGCATTGCTTAAGGAAGATCCTAGATACGTGAAGTCGTCTACTTTCTCGAATTGATTTAGGGCGCCTGTTGTTTGGAGGATATTCGCGTAGTCCACAATCATGATTTTTGTTTTCTGATTATTAATCTTGAGCCCACAATTGTTGCTTTCGGTTTCTACTCTCTTTATCAGTCTCGACATCTCCTCTTCAGATGTTGCTATCAGTGTTTTATCGTCTGCGAATCTTAAGTTTGAGATCTTTTTCTCTGCAATGGAGATGCCGCCTCTCCATCCATCGAGTGCGTTCCTCATTATGTATTCTCCATATAAATTGAACAGGTCTGGAGATAGTATGCAGCCTTGTCGTACACCTCTGCTGGTTTTGAAGGTATCAGATTGCTGGTTTTCAATTCTTATTTTAACTGAGTTATCTTCGTATAAGTTTTTAATTAATATTGCCAAATGATCTGGAACTCCCATCTCATGAAGAACTGTCCAGAGAACTTCCCACTTTACACAATCAAATGCCTTTTGGTAGTCTAGAAAACAGATTATTATTGGAATTTTAAATTCGCGGGCCTTTTCTATGAGCTGCCGCATATTAAGGATTTGCTCTCTCGTACCCTTCCCTTTGACAAAGCCTGCTTGTTATTGGGGAATTTGGTTGTCTAAGTACTGTTGCAAACGGCGTTTAATGATTCTTAGTAATATTTTGCTTGGATGGGAAATCAGTGAGATGGTACGATAATTACTACACTTTGTAGTTGTTCCTTTTTTATGGATTGGTATGCACAATGATGTGCGCCATTCTCTGGGCCACTTTCCGCATCTCCAAATTTTATTACAAAGTTTCCACATTATGTAACATCCTTTGTCTCCCATGTTCTGAAGGAGCTCTCCCGTGATATCATCGCAGCCAGGGGATTTATTCTTCTTGAGGTGAGTTACAGCTTCTTCAATCTCGGACAGCAGAATTTCAGGTTCAGGGTTGTATTCAGTGTTTTCGAGGGCTGAAGTGTGGCCTAGATTTACGTGTTCTTCGCTGTAGAGCTCTGAACAATAGTTTTTTCCATGTTTTCCAACACTCTGTCGATATCACTTATGATAATACCATGTTTGTCCTCTATTGCATAGTTCTTGGGATTAAATTCTCTCGCAAGAATTTTCACTTTCCGGAAGAGGTCTTTGGTTTCATTTCGATATCCATGATTTTCTATTTCTTGGCAGATTTCAGAGATGTATTCTTCTTTGTCTTTTCGGCATCTTCGTTGAATATCTCTGGAGAGAGCTTTGTATGTCTGTTGATCACAGGGGCCAACTTTAAGTTGCTTTCTTTGTTCAATCACTTTCCACGTGTTTCTGCTGATCCATGGTTTAATGCTATTATTTATAGATGGTTGGCGACATTGGTTCACTGTTGTTACGATGGTTTCTTTAATATAGTTTCATAATAGTTTTCATTAAAATCATTATTATTTCAAGAAATATTTATATTTGATATATATGTACTCTTATTATTATATTTTTTAAGGTTTATTTGGAGTAGACCAGACCCAGTAACACCAACCAGTCAAGCAGAAATTCGATGGGAAATCCCCGAAGAAACAGAACCTGGATCTTACCAGATACAACATTTCGGCCATTATAAGACGCTTTTTAGCGGAATTTACGAATATAGTGGTGTCTCGAGAACATTTTCTGTAAAAGCAAAGTGTGAATCAAAGTAAATAATTATTCGTTAACATAATTTTTAAATTTTGTTGTAATAAATTTACTAGTTTTTTATTTTTTCTTGTTTCTGTTTCATGAAATTCCTGCTTGGAGTGTTTGAATTCCTAGTAAGTGAGCTGTTTACTTTACTCAGCTCGTACACCCTAGTTTTGTAGCGAAGTTTCTGTTGGTATTACAATTTAGTCCAGTCGTAAGAGAATTTAACCCTAAAAATCACGATTTGTTTCTTCGACTTAAAAATTAAAAAAAAATTAAAATCAGTTGAATAAAATAATTTAAATTTTTACCATCATGGTTAAAAGACCATCGTCTACAAAATATTCGTAGAATTACAATGGCGATTTGTTGTAGAAGTTTTCATATATAATTGTCTACAAAAACCTGCAGAATTATAGTCCTCAAATCTAATTTTTTTTAAATTTTCGTTGTTGACCGGCCTCCAGACAATAGCTTCATTCATTACATTGGATACTACTATTGGTTCTTCTATAATTTTTGTTCGGAGACTTCAGAATGTTGGGCAATGCCAGATTCTACGGCAGCATCAACACCTTCTTCGAAATTCTTATATTCTGTTTCTTTACTGGTGGACGCCGATATATCCCATGGGTTTGGTATTTCCGGCCACACGTTTTCTTGTTTTATTCTGTTACGGAGTACTCGATTCACTGTCACTGTTACTAGATTCAGTTGGTTGCTACTCGTCCAATGAAGACATTAAAATTTTCAATACGGTGGCACCTAACCTGTTAATGTATGTACCGTTTGATCAGCAACAAACTTCATTTTTAAAAGTCATTGTCAAAAGCTAAATTCACCTGTTTTAGGAAACTTTTAAATGCTGTTGAGTTGTAATAGGCTTGTATTTTAGTTAATATAGAATTGCAAAAGGCTGGTGGTATTCAAATTCTATATTGAATCTTTTTAGTGTTAAGTTCTCTATGACAATACTCAAAATGAGTTCCGCAAGCTTCTTTGGAATTGGTATTAAAGTCGTTTGGAATAAAACAACAGTCATGGAACGAATGAAATAAAAAAGTTTCGGTAAAAATTTATGTTTATTAAATAATTGTTATTTCACCTCTAAGTTTAATACAGTGCACAAAATCCATATCTTCTAAGAATCGAAGGTTAGAGTAACAGATAACACAAACAGAATGGGAAAAAAAGTAAAATCAAAAATAAATTTAGTTTTAAATTTTCGTAGATTAGGTCGGCCTTGGATTCGTTTTGGTTCTTACAAGTAAAGTAATGGATTCTTCGATAGGTGTTTTATAAAAAGCTTTCTCTAAAAAGCTCTCTCTCTCTTATTGAGATAGAAAATATTTAACTTTTTGTCAATTACTAATTTATTCACAGCTTTTCGTTTATAACTACAGACGGTTTTGAACAAATATTATCATTTACCGAAATTGTAACGGAAATAGAGTCGAGAAAAACCCGAAACTTTTAATCTCGTTGGTGATAATGCAAAATGTCATATGTCAAAATGATAATTTTTTATTGCAATGTAAGCTTATAAACATGTGTTTATGTGCTGTGTCAAAATGTCAGATACCCCCTCTGTGGCTCAGTGGTAAGAGCGCCTACCTTTAAACCTAAAGGTCATGAGTTCGAATCTCACCTGGGTGGAAATTTTCGTTTATTAAAAAAAAAATTAATAAATGAAAATAATTTCTATCCTTGTTTGATCGGTACTCACCGGAGGGACCGCAGGCGTTCGGATACAATTAGCGTCTCTCAGCAAAGACAATGACGTCGACTTTGCTAAGTATCAAGACAATTACTCTACACACACAAACAACACACACACACACACACACCACACACACACACAACACACACACACACACACACACACACACACACACACACACTACATTAATAAACTTATCTTGATTGAGACTGGCTGAATGACAATTGTCCAAGCCAAAACACACAAAAAAAATGTCAGATGATTCTGATTCATAGCAGACTAACTACATCACAATTACAAAATAGTTCTATATTTCCTGTGTTAGTGTAATGTGACTTCTGTTTCTTTCTACAGTGAGCTCCATCTCTTGGCTACAGGCAAAAAGTATTTTAATTGATTTAATTTATTCAATACTACATTCTACATATTTTTAAAGTATTCACTTACATAAATATTTCTTTAATAAAACACTAGTGCTGAATAGAATGTGGTTACAAATTTGAGGTTATGCTTTGATAACTACGAACATGAAAGTTTTTCTTATGAATAAATAACAAAACTGAATGCCTGGACTAAATTATTGTTAAAATATTTATTAAGTCATTAAATTTAAACTAACTAGTATGCATAAAGTTATAAGTTTAAAATGAACAAGTGTGTTAAACCTTTTACTAGAAATATTTTTTAGATATCTACCAAAAATATTACAGTGGATGTAACTAGGGAATACACTTTAGGTGCTGTTGTAAATTTTACAATAACACTCCCTTCAAGCAATAAATTCCATACATTAATTACCACACAATATTGTTACAGATGCTGGAGAAAATGATGTCGGAAGGAAAACTCTGGGTAGAACTGGTGTCTAAAAAAACAACGAGCCGCCTAGGTCGCAAATGTCACATCACATGCAGGAGCGCGAGCTCAGTTCAAGTATTGTAACTAATGTAAAACATACTCTTGTTATAAATGAAGAACACAATATTATTTAAGATAGATCCCCTCAAAACTATGGGGATTATATACATTCTGAATCGGATAGCTATAAACCTTCAATCTATAGCTCCAGTGATGCATCTTGTAATGACAAAAATGATTAAAAAAAAGTCCAGGAACAAGAAAAGAAAATTCCCTAAAAAGAGATTATTATTCAAGAAACAAGGAAATACTATGCCCAACTCTGAGACAAACAACATGCTAAATGTGTAAGGAAAAAATCGACGAGGCTTTGATCCCCATGAATATATAATTTGCCAAAGAAATAGACATAGGAACACAGCAGAGTCACCTCAATAAAGAATATAATGTAGATCATTCTGTAAATGGTGAACAGCCTGAGAATGCGGTTTATTTACAAGAACCCACAGCAACATCTGGGACTCGGAAAAGAAGCAGAGGCCGAAATCCAGCCAATTGAATAAAGGAAAAAGCATGCGAGGCGAGAAATATCAAGGGTCAAAGAAAGACAATGCAATATAAATTATTAATAGCTGACAGAAAAGACAGAAAAATTAAAATTCAATGTACTTACAAATTAAGCACAAAAATACTTATTCCTAGGCTGTACAAATGTACTAAAGGAGGACAGCGAAAATAAATTTCAATTATTTTTGGAAAATTTTGACTGATCGGGTAAAAGAGCACCTATCTTCTCATTGGTTAAACGGAAGTAAATTGCACAGAGGCGAAAATCTTCCACTTTATCTGATTTTACCAAAAGAAATACTACGTTTAATTAGCACTTGATACAAGATAATTTCCATGTCAACGTGTGCAAAAAATGTTTTCTAATACGGTTGCAGTGGGCGAGAGAACTATTCGTTCATGGCTGCAAAAACTTACTCTCGACAACAACAGTGATGAGTCTAATATAAACGTTGATCGATCTCCCTCAAAAACATCTTTGTCAACACCCTTATCCAGATTTTGAAAAAAAAGACGGCTTCAATGATTGCCAAGTCTCAGTCAGTGAAAGAGTTTTTTCAGATTCTTCCTAGGATGAAGTCATATTATTGTACGTCTATGTTAAGCCAGGTTGGGAGAGTAAAGTGGCTTTATTTAAAGAATTCAAAGAGAACTCTTGTGCTAGTAGAAACAAACCACATTGACACGGTAAAATTTGATAAAATCCTGGAAGCACTACTTCCAGAATGCCGCAATGACTACCGATATACCAGATTAATTAACAATACGTACAAGAACGCAACTATGTCGGTGAAACTACATCAAAACACGAATCATATCCCAATAGGTAGAGGAGTCCGACAATGTGATACCTTATCGCCTAAACTGTTTACCGCAGTACTAGAATATGTTTGTCAAAACTTAACTGGAAAGAGAAAGGCCTGAACATTGATGGTAGAAGATTAACAGATTTGAAATTCACAGACGACATAATTTTGTTCTCAGTGAACCTCAAGAAGATGTGTATAATGCTACATAAACTTCAGTTAATGTGTGCCAGCCTGGGTATTAAAATAAACATCTTCAAAACAAAATTCATGACAAACCTAGTACCTAGCAGAAATATCAATATTGGAGACAACGAAGTAGAGCTAGTGGAATAATACATATACCTTGGACACGAAATAAAGAATCACAAGAGACAACCAAACATGCGAACTACGAAGCAGAACAAAACCTAGCATGGGCAACCTATGGAACACTCAAAGACGTATATCTTTAAAAGCGATATACCAATTTCTTCAAAACGTAAAACATTTGACCAATGTGTATTGCCTGTGATGACCTATGGTGCCAAAACTTTGACATTGATAGCTACAACTTCAGAAACGCTGCAAATAGCTCAGAGAAAAATGGAAATGTTAATGTTAAGTATATCGCTTCGTGACCGAGTTACAAATGAATACTTAAGGCGAAGAATTACCGATGTAATTTCCCGAATTGCCACACTTCAATAGAACTGGGTCAGACACGTCGCCTTAATCAATGATGAAAAGTAGATAAAGAGATTGTTTGAGTGATGGTCGAGTTAGACAAAAGAAGTAGAGGAAGACACCCTACTATAACTTAATTTTTTTCGTAATTGAAATATAACGCAAAATGCATTTTGTTTGCTAAAATTTAATAAACACTTACTATCAAAGGATTTGGGCTTAAATACATATACAGAGTGGCCCAAAAGTCTGGAAACGGCTAATTATCTCGTAAAATGCTAATCATAATTGTACAAAATTTGAGGTACACATATTTTGGATACGGAGATTCCATATTTGATATTTACAATGTTGCCAGATTTGCCGTTTTTCTTATATTATTAGTAACTTTGGTTTTTCAAATACAACACCCTATATATTCAGTCATTATTGGAATGTCCTATTCAATACGAGTTTAACC